CCCCCCCCCCCCCCCGAATATAAGCCCACCCGAATATAAGTCCCCCAATTAATATAAGCCCAGTAATCGCTGCTTAATACACGTTTATTTCCCTGTTTATTACTGACTTGTTTATGTCTGACTTGTTTATGTCTGACTTGTTTATTACTAACACAAAAGATCGTCCATGTATAAGCCCACCCATATATAAGCCCCCCCCCCTTGTATAAGCTCATCAAAAATCGCTTACGAAAGTATATAAGCACAGGGCTTATAGTCGGAGGTTTACGGTATGCGAACGAAAAACTCCCCTGAAACAATGTTGATGAACACTTCAGTCATTATGACAACTATTGCGATATCTATACCAACAACATTGTAACGGGGGAGCGGGGAATACGGCTGAATATGTGTATAAATATTTAATTGCCTTAAATATATCATGTACTGTATATCAGGACCGTACGCAGCGGAGAGCAACTGCCCCATAGTAAATCTTATTTACTAATTTTATATTGTTATTTAACAATTATTGAATGAGGTTGAGCACGATATGAAGAATTATCAAGCCCGATGTTTGCCGTTATCAGCTTAGGTTGATAACGGCAAACTGAGGGCTTGATAATTCTTCATATTGTGCGAAAACCGAATTCAATAATTGTTTTATTATTTATTTAAAAAATTCAGAAAAAACATTTGTATTAAGAAAAAAAATTCCTTAGTCATTCGGCAGCCGTCGTCGCGTCATATCAATGGCGTCAGCGAGTCAATATGATTCTCGTCGTCATAGTAATATGGCGCAAACGCGTCCAAATTTATTCATATTGACTCTTTGACGTCATTTTGTTAATATGAATGTGAAAAATCCGTATTTGGTTAGCCATTGAGTTGATATGACAATTTCACAGTTGGCTGTTAGCCAATCAGAAACCAGGAATTTTTTAAATAAATAATAATATAAATTATTAACCCAAATGGCGCTTATAACCCCTCGTATGTATTCCACATGAAATTAATCGTGATAATTTGTTAGCCTATTATACTTATTGCCAATTTATTTCCCATAAATAGATGTATTATGTCTTCATTCTTTAAAAAAAACCAGACAGAAACTGTGATAGTATTACGTACTGTAAAACTCGCGCTATACACTATAATTCTGCAACTGCAAATCTACATCGTCGAAGGGACACGTCACGGTTATACATGTCATGTCTGAATCACTTTTGAACGGCTGCAAGCAGGAAATTGCATTACATCCAGAAACTATCATCACTTAATTGGCACGAGGATAAATTGTTGTAAATGGTATTTTCATTGTGTGTACCATATGTAATTTAGAAAATACACCCTCGAGGCTAACATATGTTAATGTATATACCAGGCCACTGTGTGTTGTGTTTTGGTTTGTTTTTGTAATTCTCGGGAGATTAACACCGCAAAATGCGCATCCATAGATCTGTGGTACTCTTAGTGGTAATCCAACTTTTTGTACTGAACGAAATCGCTGATGGTTGGCGAAGACGGCGCCGACGTCGGAGACGATGTTCACCTCGTAATTGCGCTATGTCGGCGTGGAGTAACTGGTCTCCGTGTACTGCGACGTGTGGTAGTTCAGGCGAAAAGACAAGAACTCGTTCTGTGCAAATTCTTCCTGCCTGTGGCGGCAGTTCTTGTGGTTCCACCTCAGAAACACAACATTGTCCCGGAACGTGTTGTCCAATTGCGTGCTCGTTTTCTTGGACATCGTGGAGTTCGTGTTCTGCTACATGCCAATACGGGACACGGAAAAGGAATCATTTTATCTGGAGGATACAGACTTGTGGAGGAACACCTTGTCCTGCAAGCCCGCAGACTCAGCGCTGTGACAGTGGAAGGTATTATGCCTATAAAACATACCTAATTTTATGAAACTTTTTCTCACTAGTCCATAGACTAATGGTATGCGCCAGGAAAATTTTACTGAATATTGCCACATTATGGAATTGAATATTTAAGTTTGCGTGATCCTAATTCCCCTAAATGCGATATATTTCCGGGGAGTTTTTAATTTCCTGCACCTTCAAACGGTACAAAAGTTGAAATAGTTACTTTCGATAGTCTTTGAAAAACCCGTGCATGTTTTTTTCCAAACTGCACTCGAGACCATATTATTACCTACACATATAACGACTCAACAAGTTTTTTTACGCTTATTTATTTTGGTGCGAAACTCCATATTAGCATATATAGTGTATATATAAAACCTGACAATCGTCAGATCAGAGTAGCCTGCCTATATATTGCTGACCTCTCTCCATAATAATGCCTCACTGTATACAACGAATCTTTGAGCATAGCCTAACTGATATATAATGTACTATTTAAATCATTCATTAATAATTCATGACGAAAATTCAAAATCACATCCGTAAGTTTGGAATGGCGTGGTGGTGTGACCGTTTATAATTAACTGTATATAATTCAAATGAAGCGAGCAAAGCGGTCACGACGTTTTTGGTATATAAAAGGGCGTGTGAATTAAGTAAGTCCTTCGTCTTGCTATGTTAGAGACCTTACGGTTTTAGGACGGCAACGGCTACCAATAGATATCATTGAAAAGAATTGAATAATTACAATATATGAATAATTTAGACATTGTTCTCGCTCTGTTTACAACGCCAAATCACAGATTTTTACGTCTTGATACAACGGCTGCATTTCAAGCCGCAACAAGTGCAACTTCAAGCTGGGTTCAACGGAACTCTTCCCAACCATAAAACCCATGTCTTCAACTTCTAAGACTGTATTAAATTCATACGATTGATAATATGCGACGAATTATCTTTACTACCATTTATTTGAAGGAGTTTGTTTCGGCCGTTGTCGTCGCGTTGCCGTCCTAAAATCTTCTAAGGTGTCTATTATTCGCCAAGCAAAAACTGCAAATACTATTATCATACTATTTGCAATCTCCATACTATGGACATTGTATGGATAGCATTTATAAATAGATGCATAACATGTGGTAATGTGGTCGCTGATTTTTTCCACACGAGCAAAGTCCGGAACCGAACGAGAAATGGTTCTATGCGTCTACATGACGTCCGCTGAGATGACGTCATACAATAGTATAGCATACATTCCAAACTCCTGTTGTATTTTATTCTCATTCTTATATCGAGATCAGGATCAGGCTACTCTATTGTGTTCTGTCCAACTATCGGGGGAGCAAAGCCACGGAATGCGCATTCACAGATCTATAATAATCTTAGTTATATTCCGAACAAGCTTTCGTTGGTAGGCATTTCGAGCGAAGGCTCTTCATCTGGAGTTACTAGCGGTGGTCGGGAAAATTACATGAGCTTTTATGCTAAGAATATAGAAGCGATACGTGGAAATCACATTACAGAATATATTAATTCATTTATACAGGAAACACAGTAAATACAACAAAATATATGAAACAAGTATGGAATAAGGTAAGAATTAAAAGTCAATGTCTGCTTCAGACAGGCAAAGACAGATATAGTTAAACATAGGAAAAACATTCATTAATGCCATAGGGGTGGACAGTGCCAAGTTTGGAAATGAGGCGCATTTCGTGTCTTTCGCGGCTATCGTTGCTACCAGAAATGGGGCAGAGGGCTCGAATTTCCCTATCTGAAGCACTGTGATTGCCAGTATTAAAATGTCTGGCAACAGGCTGGTTAGCATACTTGCCAATGACTGCACGCCGATGCTCACCAAACCTTGTCCTCAAAGATCTTCCAGTTTCTCCAATATAAAGCATGCTACATCTACTGGATAAGATACAGTAAGTAAGATGGGAGGAGTGCGCGTGAAATTGTGCTTGACATGGTATTGAGATTTTGGTGCCGAAATGGTGGTGGCAGTCTATAAAATCACATGTTTTGCATTTGGCAACCCGGCAAGGAACCATGCCATTCTGTGACGACGAATCATGTGATAGGGAGCTAAGAACTAGGGTTTCACGGATATTTTTGCTGTGTCTAAAAGAGTCTAAGGGGTTATTGGAGAGAATGGAAGACGTTTCGGGGTCGTTTTTCAAAATATGGAAATTCTTCCTAATGACATCTCCAACTTTGAAATTGGAAGAATGATAAGATAATGCTAAGGGGATTTTGTTGTTACCTGCGACATTGGACTATTGGACACAGGATCTGTAAGGGTCTCAGATCAGGGAATTTGGGAGGCCTTCGAAAAGGTAGTGTCTAATAGAATAGTGGCAAAGTTACGTTGGAAAAAAGTGTTTTATTTCCAGACTTTTGGCTTGGACGTCCTTCTCCTTCACTGCAAATGCGGGAATCAATCTTTTGGTATGGCTGGGGTGGGAATTGGGAAGAGGAGAAAAGAAGATAATTATGGGAGTCAGTAGGCTTATAGAACACATAAGTAACACGTTTATTACCATTGATACACTGGTCTCACTGACCTCCAATGTCTGGATGGAAATTATTAACAAAGTTCAATTCGACACGAGAACATGATGATGTGCCAAGACAGTCATCTATGTACCTACCAAGGTAATCAGGGATGGGATCAGTGTATTTTTCGAAGATTTTTTTTTCTACAAAACCAACAAAGTTGGGACCATTTTGGTTCCCATGGCTACATCACTTATCTGTTGGTAGTGCTCACCATCAAAGGAAAAAATGTTGAGGGTGAGCAATAGCTCGGCCAATCGGACCAAAACAGCAGTAGACGGTCGCTGGTTAGGGCGCTTATCTAGAAATAATTTGGGGGCCCTTAATTAAACCATCATGATGTGGAATTACAGTGTATAAGGATTTGACATCTATAGTGAAGATGAATTTGTGAGTGCCATGAAAATGAATATTCTGAAAGATTTGGAGAGCATGTTTGGTGTCCTTGATATAGGATGGTAAGTCCTTAACCAAGAGTGCCATGACACGGTCAAGAAAACTGGATATGAGGTTTTTAGGGAGTGTTCATTATTTATACCCGGGGTTGGTACCGAAGAGAAACTAATCGAAAAGAGAAAAAAACAACCACCCACCCTTTCGGTCAACCATTTTTTCCCCTACCCAACTATTGCATGACTTGGATTTTTATTTTACCCAACCCAATTTCAAAATTATACAAGTATTTTACATATATACATATATATTATTATACAAGCTAGGCCACTATAGTATAAACAGTACTATGCATATTTGGTGCACTAACTGAATGTCAAATATAATCATTTGTACCTTCACAAGTTCATATTATGTTCCCAAGCCTCCAAGTTCCTGCAGTCCTACCATATCTCGTTGTTGTAATCAGAGGGGATGGGGAGTTGGAGTTTAGTTTTCTTTGTGGGGAATGAATGGATATTTCCGGGAATGACCCATTTTGTTAAATAAAGGATTTTCATATTTTGTTCAATTCAAGGTTTGTATTGAAAATAATTTACCCAACGATAGGCTTTGTTCAAAAAATATTTACCCAACCCTTCATACCCCTGAAAAATGGCTTACCCAACCCGTTTCTTTTTGGTACCAACCCCGGGTATAAATAATGAACACTCCCTTAGCAGTCTCGGGGAGATTACCAGTGGCGATAAAGCTACGAATGGTCTTAGAAATGGTGGTTTGATGAGTGGAAGCCAAATCATTGTCAAGCCTGCTGTAGAAAGTGGTGTCACGCAATTGTCGGTGGGCTTCGTTACGATATAAGTCAGCCCTCCAAACTGACAGTGTCATCCCGAGCACGAAGTGATTGAAGGGTACTGTCATGTGTAGGGTACTTCCACGTGTAGGTTATGGGTAAATATTAAGATTTTGTTGGCATAATATAAGTCTTGTGAGATATAAGATCAATATTAAGATGTTAAGATATAAGATCAATATTAAGATGTTAAGATTACGGCAAGGAATACTGTAAGTCTGTTGATCACCAATGCACTATGGCAAGGTGTTAATTTTACGCGCATGTCCAGACCTGTTTATTTCAGGAATGTACTGTATTCATTAATTCTTTCTGATCAATAGATTTGAAATATAGACATGAAGTCAAATATATGAATATGTATATAAAATAAAACATATATAACGACTCAACACGTGGTTTTTTAGGCTTATATTTATTACTATTTAGAGTTTTCACCACGTAAAATCTGACAATCCGGGGGCGGATCTAGGAATTTGACGAAACAATCGTAATGTAACATATAATGCTGACCTCTTTCTATATATAATGCCCTGTACAATGAATCTTTGAGCATAACCGAACTCTGATAATTAATATTTTAAATAATTCGTTAATAATTCATGAACAAAATTCAAAAGATGGATTCAGTTTTTGTCTTAATTTACATAGATTACTTCAGCTTCGTTAGTCTCGTCTAAAACGAACCATATCGCCACAAAAAGTCCGTAAACTTGACTACCTTTATGCATTGTAATTTTAAGTAACATAAAGATATCGGTCAAAACAGATCGCTTGAACACAACGTATTATGATATAAGTGGGATATAGCACGTACTTTGATTAATGCGCGTGCATTATAACGCCATAATGCATTGTCATGGTTTTTTGTTGCATGCCATATATTGTATGGCATGCAACTTTCATATAGCTCTAAATTTCGTGTCGCGGTCGGTGAGCGGTCAGCGTACCAGTCACGTGGCAAATTCGTAAAATGCGACAAATACCGAGTTTTTCCGACGAGCATTTTCATGCCGGGTTTTCGTCGAGGAAACGCAAAGAAATATTGATTATTCGCCGAAAATTTACCTGATTGAGCGCTTTAGAAAAATAAATCGAGTTAGGTAAAGCTTTACTGTTTTTAGCTTATCTTATATTCTGTTATTTGTTGTTATTTTGGAGCCGTTGTGCTCGCAATGATTAGTGATTATTTATCAATTATCAGGCGTCTATATTTATATATCGTGAAAGTCGTAATGCCGCGAACGCTATCAAAATACTCGATTTTTATATACTCAAACTGAAACGGAGCCATTGCGCTCGCACTGATTATATTGTGTGCAAAGCTTCAAAACTACAGCACATTTTGTAAATAACATGATATATAAATATCAAACAAAATTTGAATTGAAATTTAATACAACGAAATAGCAACCATTGTGAAGTACGCATAAGATTCAACATGACATTCGATATAGTGTAAATTAACTCATTTCAATCACTCAAACGTCAAAATGATAAATAATAATCATTTTCAATCTATTATAGTAATTCACCGTTTTCACGGGTTTTTTATACCTTTAAAAAGTTACAATAAAGCTAAATCCAAAGGGAATAACGTTATTTAGTTATAAATTTGATAAAACCTTGACCACCTTGTCCTTGTTATTGTTATTATTATTATTACCGTCGCTTGCAACCAACTATTAACGGTCGCTTATAAAAACATTGCCTGTTCGCGTGTTTCTGCTGGGGTCTACACCGTAGGCTAATTCGCGTGAGAATCTTAAGTTTTCTTATTTTGACCTAATAGCTATTTTTCAATAAATATATTGATATTTTAAACTTATTGAATGATCAATATTTTAAGTTTCACGCCAGTTGTACCAAAGGTTTATGTAAGCGCTATAGCGCATGATAAGTTTCAGATGGCATGTAACATGTACGCACTGCGTACCTATTTTTCAGTTTTTTCTTCCTTTCACTATGGTTTCTTGGCAAAAGATTGATCTCATGCGGTTTTCTTGACGACCACTGAGATGACGTCATAAAATAGTTTACCATATATTCCGAAGCTATTTTGTATTCTCGGCATATATCAGCTTCAGGCCATTGTGTTGCGTTCTCTTCAACTGCCAAGAGAGCAAAGCTACGAAATACGCATTCATAGATATGTAATAATCTTAGTTCTATTACAACTATTATTTCTCAACGAACTGTGTGATGGTTGCGTTAGACGTCGCGGACGTCGGGTATGCTACGCTCGTAATTGCGTGATGTCGTCATGGAGTGGCTGGTCTCGGTGTTCGGCGACTTGTGGTAACTCGGGTTGGAAGACTAGAAGTCGTCGTGTTCTAAGTTATCCATCTTGCGGTGGTGCTGGCTGTGGTTCTACCTCACAATCAACACGGTGTCCCGGTACGTGTTGTCCGATTTCGTGTTCTTATTCATGGATGTCGTGGAGTTCGTGTTCTGCTTCGTGCATGTACGGGACACATAAACGTTATATTCGAGTTTGGAGAAATCCTCTTTGTGGTGACGCAACCTGTCCCGCTAGCCCGCAAACGCAGCGATGTGGCAACGGAAGGTATTATACTACTGAATATTAGATTAACTCCATATGTACGTAGGTTGTGTTGCGTCTGGCGATCAAGATTCGATTCCTGCAGTGTGTAATTGTTTAGGTCTAAGTTACACTCTACCTTGCAAGTATGGTCTCACAGATCTTGACACATCACAGTATGTTGAAATGACACATGACAGTGTCAACACGCGCGGGCACATCTGGCCTTTTAAGAACGCAAGCTTGTAAAACAAATACTTTTCAAAGTTCTTACTTCGTTAGGATTGTAAAACTGTGGAACTATATGTATGTAAATCTGCTCCTTCCAACTGCTACGACACTCTCCCCACCTTTACATCATACCTACCAAGACTTTCCTCCACCTGACTGCTTCTGCCTACACTCCTGACTTACCTATAGCTTAAACTCGTTGATCACGACTAACTAATATCTTCCAGGTCATTCATTTTACCACTTCTCTCTTCTGTGCTTCTAATTTTCCATTCACCATTCTTCCATTTTTCTATTCAATATTTTTCTTGCTCTTCTATAATATCTCATGCATGGGACCTAGTCTCGTTTGTGTTTCGGTGCCACGTTTGGCACCTTCTATAGTTACTATTATTCGTATTCTTATTCAATGTATTTATCTATGTTAAAGGCGGTTTTCCACTAGACGAAATTTTTCGACCGAATCGAAAGTTCTCTTTGTTTCATGAGCTCTCGAGCAGAACTAATTGTAAAAAGACAAAGAGAAATTTCGTTTCGGTCGAAAAATTCCGCCTCGTGGAATCAGGCCTTAAGGCCCATTTCCACTCAAGAAAAATTTCCATGGACAGAACATTTTCCGAAAATATCATTGTTACAGTGAAAATACAAAAAGTGTCCCACTTCCGCTTCTGTAGTTTGTTGTGATCGATTTACTGTAATTTGTTCTGTTTTTCTGTGGCGATTACCGATTTATCGGCAAATACTGCGATAAAATTTAAATTTCGTACCTTTTATTCAATGAAACTAACGAAAAATGTATTATTTCCCTTTGGGACAAATTATCATATTTAAAAATAGAGAAACTAAGTTTTATCGCGGTATTTGCCGATAAATTGGTAATCGCTACAGAAAAACAGAACAAATTACAGTAAATCACAACAAACTGCGGAAGTGGGACACTTTTTGTATTTTCTCTGTAAAAGTTGAAAATTTTCAACTTAAAATTTTTTTCCGACGAAAATTTGTGTCGCGGCCAATCACATTTTACAAAATTTTCTTTCTGCGGAAAACTTTCCTGAGTGGAAGTAGGCCTTTAGTTGTGTACAATATTGTCAAGTTATCTACGTGCCAAATTAAAGCTGTTAAATACGTATATAGTCAAGTGTATGCTGGTATATCGGGTCTATTGATTTCGCACATAACAAGATCAGGCAGGCCCACGCGTGTTTGCCAACATCAGTATACATAAGAAATGGGAGATTGGCGTTCACAGGTTGTAATCTAACAAGGATTTAAGGCATCTCACTCGGTAGAGATCAATGTTCAATTAAGTTTTTGTGGATGGGAAAATCGAGTGTAAATTATTTACATTTTTTAACGTAACAAGCAACAGCTGCAACTAGCCTGCAACGAATCTGCAACTAACCAACTGAGCTACAAAGTCCAGTTGTTGGCTTTAATCGCAAGTTCATGTAATTATATTTTAGTATGATGTCAGTGTTAGTTGCATGGGGGAAGAATCCTATTATTTAAATGCTTACAAGGAATAGTAAATTTAGAATTTGAACTATGAAATATGGCCACGAATTCTTCCTATGCGCGCAAACGAGAACTGACTTCATGCGGTCTCCTTGACAACCACTGAGGTAACGTCATAAAATAGTACACCGTATATCGAAGACCCGCAGCTACATTGTGTTCTCATATATCAGGATCGGGCGACTGTGTTGCGTTCTCTCCAATTGTCAAGAGAGCAAAGCCACGAAATGCGCTTTCATAGATCTGTGATAATCTTAGTTCTATTCCAACTATTATTTCTGAATGAACTGTGTGATGGTTGGCGTAGACGGCGCCGACGTCGGAGAACATGTTGGCCTCGTAATTGCGTGATGTGGCAATGGAGTGGCTGGTCTCGGTGTTCGGCGACTTGTGGCAGCTCGGGTCGGAAGACTAGAACTCGTGGTATTCGAACTTACGCATACTGCGGTGGTGCTGGTTGTGGTGCTACCTCACAATCAATAGCATGTCCCGGTACGTGTTGTCCGATTCCGTGTTCTTATTCATGGATGTCGTGGAGTTCGTGTTCTGCTACGTGCATGTACGGGACACGTAAACGTTATTCTAGAATTTGGAGAAATCCTAGTTGTGGAGGCACAAGCTGTCCCGCTAGCCCGCAAACTCAGCAATGTGGCAGTGGAAGGTATTATGCTATTGAATATTAGGATAATTCCATATATACATGCATAGATTCGATTACATAGGCTTTGTTTACACTCTTGCGATCGAGGTTTGATTTATACGTACAGCATTTAGTTCTCTGGTTTGAAGTCGCACTCTATATCAAACACCGCAAGTATTTTCCAAGGGTGTCGTCTTGTAGCAACAAGGTTATATACGTAGCTTTTATGCTAATAGGTTCCGGGTTCGATTCCTTGCAGTATGCAGGTTATGTATTATAGCTTGCATTGTACTAGAAACCCCAGTTACGTTTACGCAAGATAGTAATAATGGGATAGCCGCTTACTAAACGTCTAGATAATGGAGAACCGTTTACAACTGGTAGATAAGCCAATATGTACATAAGTCATAAATTTAATCACATTTGTTGTACCAGTTTTGTATTTCATCCGTAATAATAATAAACTCTTTCTTTAACGAGGGTAGCACGGAATAGTTACAATAACTAATGAACACCTATAACACATAACCGTGGATGGTGATTTGCGCACGGCACAGACGACTAAATGGGATATGTACAAACCCTGGTACAAACTGTTCAATAAGATCAATATTAAGATGGTGATTGAAGGTACTGCCATGTGTAGGGTACTTCCACGTGTAGGTTATGGGTAAATATTAAGATTTTGTTGGCATAATATAAGTCTTGTGAGATATAAGATTAATATTAAGATGTTAAGATTAAGGCAAGATATAAGTCTATTGACCGCCAATGCACTATGGCTTGCTGTTAATTTGATGCGCATGTCCAGACCTGTTTATTCCAGGAACTGAAGTACTGTATTCATTAATTCTTTCTGATCAATAGACCTGAAATATAGACATGAAGCCAAATATATGAATATGTATATAAAATAAAACATATAACGACTCAACACGTGGTTTTTTAGGCCTATTACTATATAGAGATTTCATTACGTAAAATCTGACAATCCGAGGGCGGATCTAGGAATTTGACGAAACAATCGTAATGTAACATATAATGCTGACCTCTTTCTGTATAATAATGCGCTGTACAATGGATCTTTGAGCATAACCTAACTCTGATAATTAATATTTAAATAATCATTAATAATTCAAAATTGAAAAGATGGATTCGATTCAGATTTCGTCTTAATTTACATAAATTACTTTCAGCTTCGTTAGTCTCGTCTTAAACGAACCGTATCGCCGGTAAACTTGATTGTCTTTATGCATTGTAATTTTAAATAGCATAAAGATATCGGTCAGAACAGATTGAATGCCATAAACTTCATAATTTAATCTCTAAAATACTGATACTTCATTAAATTACCAATTACGAAACAACAAGAAGATACATGTTCCGAAATTCTATACTGAACGTTTTAAGAATTCGTATGTCATCGCTAGTTGTTTAGACATAAATAATCGTAATTCAACAAATTAGTGTTAGTTTTAATATTTATAATTTTCTTAGTAAGCCATAGCATAGGTTGTAATTTTTTAAATGTAATATAATTTGTATTCAGTGTTATTTATATTGTAATCGCTTACGAATTCAGTATTTGTGCTGCAAAAAGTGAATTATTAAACTATCTATCTATCTATCTATCTATCTATCTATCTATCTATCTATCTATCTATCTATCTATCTATCATAATTTATAATATAACTGGGATATAGCACGTAATTTAGATTAATGCGCGTGCATTATAACAATGCATTGTCATGGTTTTCCAGTTTTTTCTGGTTTTTTGATTGATCTCATGCGGTTTTCTTGGCGGCCACTAGTGAGATGACGTCATAAAATAGTTTACCGGCATATATTCCGAAGCTGTTTTGTATTCTCGGCATATGTCAGCTTCAGGCCATTGTGTTGCGTTCTCTTCAACTGTCAAGAGAGCAAAGCCACGAAATGCGCATTCATAGATTTGTGATAATCTTAGTTCTGTTGCAACTATTATTTCTCAATGAACTCTGTGATGGTTGCAGTAGACGTCGTCGTTCGCCATGTTACGCTCGTAATTGCGTGATGTCGTCATGGAGTGGCTGGTCTCGGTGTTCGGCGACTTGTGGTTACTCGGGTTGGAAGACTAGATATCGTCGTGTGTTAAGTTACCCATCTTGCGGTGGTGCTGGCTGTGGTTCTACCTCACAATCAACACGGTGTCCCGGTACGTGTTGTCCGATTGCGTGTTCTTATTCATGGATGTCGTGGAGTTCGTGTTCTGCTACGTGCATGTACGGGACACAAAAACGTTATACTCGAGTTTGGAGAAACCCTGTTTGTGGTGGCGCAACCTGTCCCGCTAGCCCGCAAACCCAGCGATGTGGCAACGGAAGGTAGCTATTATACTACTGAATATTAGACTAATTCCATATGTACGCATAGGTTGTATTGCATCTGGCGATCAAGATTCGATTCCTGCAGTGTGTAGTTGTTTAGGTTTAAGTTGCACTCTACCATGCAAGTATGGTCTCACAGATCTTGACACATCACAGTATGTTGAGATGACACATGATATAGTGTCAGTATGTTGAAACTACAGTAGGCAGGACACGCGCGGGCACATCTGGCCTTCTAAGAACGCAAGCTTGTAAAACGAGTACTCTTCAAAGTTCTTACTTCGTTAGGATTGTAAAACTGTGGAACCATATATATGTAAATCTGCTCCTTCCAACTGCTGTGACATTCTCCCCACCTTTAAATCATACCTACACAAGATTTTTCTCCACCTGACTGCTACTGCATGCCTACAATCCTGACTTACCTACATATAGTTTAAACTCGTTGATCACGACTAACTAATATCTTCCAGGTCATTCATTCTACCGCTTCTCTCTTCTGTGCTTCTAGTTTTCCATTCACCATTCTTCCATATTTCTATTCTATATTTTTCTTGCTCTTCTATTATATCTAATCTACTGGTGAGCGCCATGTATGGGACCCAGTCTCGCTTGTGTTTCGCCACGTTTGGCACCTTCTATAGTTACTCTGTTACTGTTATTCGTATTCTTATTCAATGTAATTATCTATGTTAAGGCCCATTTCCATTCAAGAAAAATTTCCACGGACAGAAAATTTTCCGAAAATATCATTGTTAAAAGTTGAAAATTTTCAACTTCAAAATTTTTTCCGACTGAAGCTTTGTGTCGGCCAATCACATTTTACAAAATTTTCTTTCTGCGGAAAATTTTCCTGAGTGGAAATGGACCTTAAGTTGTGTACAATATTGTCAAGTTATCTACGTGCCAAATTAAAGCTGTTAAATACATATAGTCAAGTATATGCTGGTATATCGGGTCTATTGTTTTCGCACATGACAAGATCAGGCAGGCCCACGCATGTTTGCCAACATCAGTATACATAAGAAATGGGAGATTGGCGTTCACAGGTTGTATTCTAACAAGGATTTAAGGAATCTCACTCGGTTAAGATCAATGTTCAAGGGTTTTTGTGGATGGGAAAATCGAGTGTAAATTATTTACATTTTTTAACCTAACCAGCAACAGCTGCAACTAACCTGCAAGTCTGCAACTAACCAACTGAGCTACAAAGTCCAGTTGTCGGCTTTAACCGCAAGTTAATATAATTATATCGTAGTGATGCCAGTGTTAGATGCATGGGGGAAGAATCCTATCATTTAAATCCTAAATGCTCACAAGGAATAGTAAATTTAAAATTTAAACTTTCAAATATGGTCACGAATTCTTCCCACGCGCGCAAACCAGAATTGCGGTCTCCTTGACATCCACTGGGGTGACGTCATAAGATAGTACACCGTATATCGAAGACCCGCAGCTACACTGTGTTCTCATATATCAGGATCAGGCGACTGTGTTGCGTTCTCTCCAACTGTCAAGAGAGCGAAGTCACGAAATGCGCGTTCATAGATCTGTGATAGTCTTAGTTCTATTGCAACTATTATTTCTGAATGAACTGTGTGATGGTTGGCGTAGACGGCGCCGACGTCGGAGAACATGTTGGCCTCGTAATTGCGTGATGTGGCAATGGAGTGGCTGGTCTCGGTGTTCGGCGACTTGTGGCAGCTCGGGTCGGAAGACTAGAACTCGTGGTATTCGAACTTACGCATACTGCGGTGGTGCTGGTTGTGGTGCTACCTCACAATCAATAGCATGTCCCGGTACGTGTTGTCCGATTCCGTGTGCTTATTCATGGATGTCGTGGAGTTCGTGTTCTGCTACGTGCATGTACGGGACACGTAAACGTTATTCTAGAATTTGGAGAAATCCTAGTTGTGGAGGCACAAGCTGTCCCGCTAGCCCGCAAACTCAGCGATGTGGCAATGGAAGGTATTATGCTATAGAATGTTACGATAATTCCATATATACATGCATAGCTTCGATTACACAGACTTTGTTTACACTCTCGCGATCGAGGTTTGATTTATATGCGTACAGTATTTTAATAGTTCTCTGGTTTGAAGTCGCACTCTATAGCAAACACCGCAAGTCTTTTCCAAGGGTGTCTTCTTGTAGCAACAAGGTTATATACGTAGCTTTTATGCTAATAGGTTCCGGGTTCGATTCCTTGCAGTATTGCTTTGTACTAAAAACCCCAGTTAAGTTTACCCAAGATAGTAATAATGGGATATAACGCTTACTAAACGTCTAGATAGTGGAGAATAGATACTGGTAGATAAGCCAATATGTACATAAGTCATAAATTTAATCACATTTGTTGCACCAGTTTTGTGTTTCAACATGTTTTCCGCATTATATAGTTTGCGCATCCGTAATAATAATAAACTCTTTATTTAACGAAGGTTGCGCGGAATAGTTACATTAACTAATGAACACTTGTGGTGCATGTTTACATTCTCTCTTTAACACATAACCGCGGATGGTGATTTGCGCACGGCACAGACGAGTAATTACTAAATGGGATAAAGTATCAAACCTATTTACAAACAGTTCGTTATCTTAGAGATCGCCTCGGACCGGGAGGAAGTCAAACTGGAGCGATTTCATTTTGGTCATTGTATTATTTATAATAGATGTTTACATCAGACCATTGCTCAGACCGGTTTCGAGTCATCTCGCTTGCTGGACCGAATCGACTATCTTCAGCGGACCGGGATGAATGTAAATACAAATACATCTCAGACCGGTCTCGGCTGTGCTCTTAGTCTTGGCTTCGGGACAATGCACTGCTCACAAAAGCACTGTAAAAAGGAAAATGGCGGGCAAGGTGAATAATTTGAAAGATTTGCGATTTTCGTACCGGTTCATGTGAACATACTGAAAATTTCGGCTTTCATCCCGGTTTTACTTCGTCCCAGTCTCAATGTACCTATATACATCAGAGGTCAGGTTTGCGCACAACTTAAGGCCGGAAGCGCGCATCTATTCACCTTTTTTTCGTTTAAGCGCCGGTTACTTACAGTGAAGCAAAATTAGCGCGACCTTACTAATGTTGAAAATTCCTATGGGTTAAATTACTTCCGACTATAGCTTGATGATAGCCATCATGCGCATTCTATGTAAATTACGCATATGACAACTAAGCCTTTATTTTCCTCATCATTCAGTCTTGTTTATTTTCTGAATTATATCTTAAAGCAGGATAATTTGACGGCAAAACCTGACATCTTAAACTCTCTTATGCTCAGTTGGCCAGGACGATTCTCCGTCGTAGTTCCGTAGTAATTTTATTCACTATAAATAATGTCACCCTGGATTGATTTTCGACCGATGTTATTAGAGATGTATGTACTAGTATGGTTAGATCAAAGTCCTATAATTGAAATGCTGTGTCAGTGATCACGTGAAGAATGCGTGATCGTATAAACAAGCTTCTAGTTATTAATTGTAACTATTAATGTTTGCCTCAACAAGTGAAGAGTCCTTATAATTTGCATATATATGTTTCATATTGCCATGGTCATGGATGTATAAATCAGTGTTGGTCCAGGACGAGCTTGACGTTTTTGACCATATTTGATGACCTTGCATGCTCACAATATGGTGTAAACATAGACTTCATTTTTGGCAACACTTCATTTTTATATATATATATTTATCGGTGAATACTGTCGAGCTTTTTGTATATAGGATAAAGATCAAGGTTGTTTGTTATAAAAATTTTGTCAGTTGCCAAGCATATATCTTTCTACAACTTTGATATTTTAAATCAATCCTATATGCGTCTGTGAATTAAAATGTGTAATTAAGCACCATCAATCACCATGAAATTGAATGAAGGTACCCGTTTCATATAGTTGCTACTGGTTAAAGATTTTATCTTTAGGTTACTTCACTGTGCCGAGTATTTGCACTCAAGTTGAGAACATTGAAATAAGGTTCATGTCGTGTTGTATTTGTGTATTGCGCTGCAAGTGCCTGGCTCACTTCGCAATGTTATTGTTCTCTGGACGTGTCCAGGCTTGCATGCTCTGCCAGTTCAACAATTCAATGAAGGACCACCAGCTTATACGCATTCCTACGCACCAACGATTTGGCAATCACATTGGTGACGAAACGTTGTGAAGATGTCTGTAATCCAATTAGCTACTTTAAAGGTAGAATATTTCAAGTAATAGACTATTTCAAATGGTCAAACGAGGATGTTTGTTTAATTGGAAATTGGTGAAATTGTATGTAGAGTGTCCAGAATACATTTATTCGTATTTATTCTGTGGGGACGAGACTAGTTGTCCGTATTAGAAAGGTTTGTATTATACAGCTTACTTTTAAATAAAGTAGATGAAATTTTGTCCAAGTGCTTGTTTTTGAAGAGGTGTCCGTATTAGAGAAGTGTACTTATTAGAGAGGTGTCCGTATTAGAGAGGTCTGTATTAGAGAGTTGTGCGTATTAGAGAGTTGTGCGTATTAGAGACTTGTGCGTATCAGAGAGGTGTGCGTGTTAGAGAGGGGACCAAATTAGAGAGAGGTCTTTATCAGAGAGATGTGCGTATTATGGAGGTGTCCGTATTAGAGAGGTGTGTGTATTAGGGAGGTGTCCGAATTAGAGAAGTGTCCATATTAGAGAAGTGTTCATATTAGAGAAGTGTCCGTATTAGAGACGTGGCCGTATTAGAGAGGTTGTGTATTACAGAGGTACCCGTATTAGCGAGGTGAGCATATTAGAGAGATGTCCGTATTAGAGTCACACACCAATTTACATGTGTCACACACCACATGTACACAGTACATAACACAGCACATGAGTCGCACACCAATTTACGGCCACCAATCTTATCATGTTTTTATCAAATGTTTAATTTTTACTGTGAATCAGTAGCTTACCACTATTTGTACCTGCATGCAAAAATGTGACATAGAAAATATAGAAGTTATTACACCAGAGGCCGGTTGTATCATGCCCGTTTAGCTTAAACGGTGGTTATGCTCAAAATAGAAAGCAAGTCTATAGATTCATTCAACAACCAAACTAAAAGTTTCGAACATTAATAGAACGATAATGTTTACAACTACATATTCAGTGCACAATATTTAAGTTGACTGATTCACAAGAGAGAAGCCACAGCTGGTCAACTCGGCCCATACAATCTTGGCCCAATTGTTAACTACTGTTTGACATATTAGGAAAGCTAATATTTTACAAAAGATAGCACCAAACCAATACAGCCATTTACAGTTGCATTG